GATATATGTATCAATATATCAATGCCTTAAAAAAGGGACTAAGAGCCTGATGCAGTGGCACATGCCTGTAATCCCAGCAGCTTGAGAGGCTAAGCAGGAGCATGTTCAAAGCCAAGCTCAGCAACTTAGTGAGGCCTTGAGCAACTCAGCAAGAACTTGTCTCTAAATAAAATATAAAAAGGGCTGAGGATGAGGCTCAGTGGTTAAACACCCTGGGTTCAATCCCAGTATTTAAAAAAAGAAAGAAAGAAAGAAAAGAAAAGAAAGAAAGTAAGAAAAAGAAAAGGGGCCAAAATTCTTATAAGGGAGATGATGACATCATCAAGATGGCAGCATAGGAAGCCTCAAGCCCTCCCTCCCCCAGAGAGATGCTGACTTAACAATACATATATCAATTCCTTTTGTGAGAAATCAAGAAGATAGTTAAGATGTTCTTATACCTGAAGTTGAGTATAAAACAAACATGTAGGCAAATTTGTGGCACTTAATTGCTAGACAGAGTACCTCCCCCTGACTTAGTATAACATGATCAAGAGAAAACTCCCAGCTTCTGAGTTCTCCTTGGGGTGGCAAAGAGGAGAGAATACACCCAATATTGCAAATTTCAAAGGTTTGCCTGAGGGACTGGTTTCTATCCCATCTCAAGCCCAATACTGAGAGTGGCGGGGGGTGGGGGCAGGACCGCATGGATGAGGATAGGACACACAGGACACACAACACAACACCAGGCTGGGATCTTCTGAGAACAAAGAAGATCTGGATTAGCATACATTCAGTTACCATAGTACTTTCCCCCAATTCAGTGCAGGACAAGTAGGTGAAAACCCTTAGCTCTCAGCTTCTCTCCCTGAGGAGGGAAAAAAAGTGGAGCATGCATTCAGTTTTTAGTTAGAGCTACCCAAGAGACTGGTTTTTGTCTTGCCTGGTCAGAGTGCTGGACAGGAACTTGTATACTACAGATGGGGGTGGGGATGAGGGTGGGGGTGGAGTGGGGTTCTAAGAATGAGAGTTGAGTAGCTTGCTGCTGCTGTAGAGGATCTATATCACAGCAGACACAGGCCAATACATCTTGGTAGGCCCTCCCTTGGGTAGAGAAGAGAAGAGTGAAGCACATGTCCATTGTTCCATCTTTGTGGGGGGAATTCCCAAGAGAAGAGTTTCCGTTTTACTTATCTTAGGGTGCTAGTGGGACCCAGCATACTGTAGACATCTGGGTCCCAGAGAGTTGGGAGGCTTGCTGCTGCTCTAGAGAATTGTAGTGTAGCATACAGAGGCGTTTTGGTAGCCTCTCCCTCAGGGAGAATGAGAAGAGTAGAATGTGTGTCCAACATTAAAGAAAGAATTTTGAAAGAGACTCATCACATTCAAGGAAGTCTCCATAAGGCTGTAAGCAATTTGTAACAGAAAAACGTGCAGGCCAGAAAGGACTAGGATAATATATTCAAACTGCTGGAAGAGAAAAACTGCCAAACAGAGATAATATATCCAGCAAAACTATCCTTCAGAAACGAAAGAGATACTTTCACAGATAAACAAAAGCTGAGAGTTCATCAAAAAAGAAAATAAGGGGCTGGAGTTGTGGCTCAGTGGCAGAGAACTTGCCTCAAACATGTGAGGCATTGGGTTCAATCCTCCTCACCACATAAAAATAAATAAAATAAAGATATTTTTAAAAAAAGATAATAAGAAAGGAATTTAAAGTATGTTGCTGCAAAAAAACAGAAGAAACAAGAATAAAGACAGCAAAAGGTAAAGACATGAAATTGGTCTTGGCACTGATTTTTTACATATGACACCAAAAACACAAACCACAAAGATGAAAATAGACAAATGGAACTACATTGAACCCAAAACCCCTCTGTCTAGCAAAAGAAACAATCAACAGAGTTGAAAGGGCAACCTACAGCATGGGTAAAAATACTTGCAAACCATATATAAACAAAATATTATGGTTTGAAAGTATTTAATAAGGGGTTAATAGCCAAAATAAATAAGGAATACCTGTAACTCAAGAGGGGGAAAAATTTAAAACTATACAAAGGACTAGAATAGGCATTTTTTCAAAGAAGACATATAGGGGCTGAGGTTGTGGCTCAGTGGTAGGGTGCTTACCTAGCACATATGAGGCACTAGCACCACAGAAAAATATAACATTTTTTTTAAAAAAGAAGATGTACAAATGACCAACCAGTATATGAGAAGACATTAACATGACTGATTATCAAGGAAAAACATACCAAAATCATAATGAGATATCACCTCACCTATTAGTATGGTCATTATCAGAAAATAGCAAGTGTTGACAAGGATGTGGAGAAACCAGAACTCTGTTCTTACTATGGTAAGAATGTAAAATGGTACAATAAGGAGTTTCCTCAGAAAATTAAAACAGAACTATCATATGATAGGTAGTTATCTGAAAGAACTGAAAACAGGCTCTCAAAGAGAGAGTTGTACTCCCATATTCATGTAGCATCACTTATAGTAGCTGAGAGGTAAAACACCTGAATGTCCATCAGTAGATAAATAGATAACGAAAATGTGATATACATATACAAAGGAATATTACGCAACCTTAAGAAGGAAATCCTGCCATATATAACAACATGGATGAACCTTGAGGACATTGCTAAGTGAAATAAGCCAGTCACAGAACAACAAATACTGCATGATACACTTATGTAAAGTATTTAAAATAATCAAAATCATAGACACAGAAGGTAGAATGGTGGTTGCCAGAGGCTGAGACGGGGAAAATGCGAATTATTTATAGGTACAGAGTATTAGTCATGCAAGATAAAAAGTTCTAGAGATATTCTGACAGTTATGTACCTACAGTTAACAATACTTATAAATCTGTTAAGGGTAGACACCATTCTTTGTGTTTTCATCCCCCCCACACACAAGATTTCTATGAGGAGTCATTAACTGTTATTATGGAACAAAGCGTTTGAAGATATATCAGAATAAATAAATTAGATAAGACATATACAGAGCTTACACGTTGTTTACTGAACTGGTTGATTCCCTTAAAACAGCCTTAATGTTTTTTTTTTAATATATAACACATTATTTATTACAGTCACTATTTGTGCCAAATATCACTAAAGCTTACTCCTCATAATTGGAATTTTGTCCCCTGTGATCAACATCTCCATTTTCCCTATCTAACCCCTTCCCCATCCATTGGTAACCACCATTCTATTCTCAACTTCCAAGAGTTCAACTTTATAGATTTCACATATAAGTAATACTATATGGTATTTGTCTTTCTGTGTCTGGCTTATTTCAATTAAACATGATGTCCTTCAGGTTCATCCATGTTACTGCAAATGACAGGTCTTCCCTCTTTTTAAAGGCTGAATAGTATTTTCATTGTGTATATACACCACATTTTCTTTATTCATTCATCTAATGACGGACACCTAGGGTGCTTCAGTGTCTTAGCTACTATGAATAATGCTGTAATGAACACAGGATACATATAACTCTTCAATGACCTTAATTTAAAGCAACCATAAGAACTTGCCTTCATTTGTCATACTTTTAGTTATCAAGCAAATGATTTGGTCACAAGCTTAATAAGCTCATTCATATCGTTATTTTAGACTTTAGATTTCCTGGATATCTATATTTGAACAAAGTAAAAGAATATCCACAATAACTTAAACATGAAACCATTTTGTTTTCTTCTCTATAGGATACTATTGAAATCTATTTTATCCAATATAAAAGGATAAAAACATTTATATTAGAAACTATAAACAAGTAAAGAAAAAATTTCATTATAATTTTAGAAATGTCTTTTACAAACATTCTCCCTGGGATGTATGTATGATAATCTTTTAATCTAGATTAATAAGGTGTACAATGTATTCTCTTGGCATGAAGATAACTGTAATTTGAATAATATGTTCTTTTGGCATGAATTAACTATTTTGATTCATATTTAAATACACATAAATGCATACATGCATGTACATATGTGTGTAATCAAGTTTGTCTAGGAGAGATCTTATCGTAAATACAAAGGAGATCTTTTATTTTCTCTTAAATGTTTTAGGAACTGGATATATAAAGATAGTTAACTTCTATGGCTTGTCCAATACTAGTTAGTAAACTACAGGTCTAAAATAAGGCAAATCCCTATCTGTTCACCTTCTTAGTAAGAACAACTTTCTAATTCAAACGTGTGTTGGTCTCAACTAAAGGATCTTGTTCAACTTCATCAAATTGATAAAATATATCTTACAAAGTAAGCTTATATTAAGCTAAATGAGCTTAATACAGAAAATTCATACTATGAAATCAATCATCTATGAACAATGTAAAAGATTCATAAACAAAATTTTATTTTGTAATAACCAGTTCTTGTGATTATGAAACTTAACACTGTGAATGATAAGAAATCTAGTGAACTTAATCCCAGTGACTCAGGAGGCTGAGGCAAGAGGATGGCAAATTCTAGGCTAGACTGTGAAACTTAGCAAGACCATCTCAAAAAAAAAAAAAAAAAGTGGGGTTGGGGGAGGTGGGGCATGATGTAGCTTAGTGCTAGAGTGACCCTGAGTTCCATCCCTAGTTTCCCTCTCTAACATATATGGAGAGAGAAAAAAAGAGAAATCCAAGGAACTTCATGTCATGTATGCCAACATTTTTTGACTTGTCCTAATATTAACTGAAAGCTCACCATACTAGATGAAAAGCGGTATGTCACAACTTTGGTACAATTACTATGGCTACAATAAAACTACAACATATACAAAAACACATAAACCCAAAAGATCCAGTTTCAATAGATACATAATAACAATAATTTGCTTTAAAACTATTTAAAAGACATTTTTTTCTGATTAAATCTGTGACCAATTCATTTTTCCTGCCTCCTTAAGATTCTCAAATTTATCAGTGAAGTTTCTTGTAATTCCCTGAGCCCTGTCACTTTACATCCCTTGCTATTTAACTGTATGAATAGTGTATTTGCCCACATAAACAGAACATAAAAACTACTGAATTTATTATCAGAAGGGCAGTGGTTAAGGATTCCATTTTGTGAGCTCATGGAAATCCACAAAGTGTTCTCTTAGAATTGATACATCTTTTTTTTCCTCCTAAAACAAGCATAATGAGGCAAAATATTTGACAGAAAAAAATAAGACAAAAGTACAAGTCTTGGAGGAAAAAGCTGACATTTACCAACAGTTTGGGGGAAGGTGAAACATCAACACTTAAATGATGCAGTCCATCACATGAATCTGTAATGTATCTATGTCAGGCAGAACTTCTCCACACTTGGGACAGGAATGAATTGGAATACTCTGTGGTTGCTGTTGCCTCCAGTTCCTATCCTCAGCTCCTGGGAATAAGCAGGAAATTAAATGTTTCATTAGTTCCACCTTGAAAAGAACTTCTGCTTGATTTTAATAACATGGTTTTAATTTGGTCATCTGTTAAACTTCATAATCAATACCCAGTGGGATACCATTCCAAATCCTTTTTATTTTTTTAATTCAAGACAGGGTCTTGCTGAGTTGCTGAGGGTCTGGCTAAGTTGCTGAGGCTGGCCTTGAACTTAGGATCCTCCTGCCTCAGCCTCCAAAGTAGCTAGGATTACAGGTGTACATCACCACACTCTTTAATGGAAGACATCACTGTGTGCACAGAGAAATCTCCACAAATAGTACCTGCTGCTTTTCTATTATTTCAGGATTTAAACTATATTCTAGGTGTGAGTCTGAAAAGACAGTTTCAGTTCTAGGTACAGGACAATATAGGTTCTGGATAGAAGCAAAAGAGGGAGAGAATATGAAGGAAGGAATAAAGTGAGTATGGAGGGGTCTCCTGCAACAGTATATACCTTTTCAGAAGCAAAACACTCACTCCCATTTATTCAGCAGACACTTGTAAGCCCTCATGGATGTGCAAGAGACTGCTGTGTGCCAGGATACTGACAAGGTGGGGAAGCCAGGTAAGAGAAGGGGCAGTGGTGATGTGGAAGTGGGGGAGTGTTAGGCACTGTGGGCTTGGGTAGGAGTAAGAAAAGAGCCCCAATGCAGAAAGGCCTCCTGGATGAGTAACCTATGAGAGGAGCCTTAGAAAGAATAGGAATTGCCCAAGGAATGTCAGTGAAGAGAAACAGCTGAAGAATGCATCCTGCAATTGCCCCCAGTTCTGAGTTAGGTTGAGGTTGAAACCTAAATCAGAGAATGTTTGAAACAAGCTCTTACTCTGGGTATGTCCTAGATCAATACAAACTGTGATCATTGCTGAAATTTACTTCTGTCTCCTGGGCATCTCTCTGGCCTGACCTTTCTGGACCAGTGCAAAGTATTTTGTGTTTTTTTTAGAGTCTCGGCCCATACTTTGGTTCAGCCCCAAAACTTTGTTTTTGGATCTTTACCATTGTTATTTGCTTCAAAATACATTACTGAATTCAATAACATGTAAGACTTTCAGACAAAAAAAGAAACTTAAGAAACTTTCTATTTTCTTTAAATTTTTTCAGTGCTAAGACCCAGATCCAGGGTCTTTGCAAACTGGGCAAGTGCTTTACTAGTGAACTACATCCCTGGCCCAAGAAGCATATTTTACTATCTATATTCCTCATAAAGCATGATTTTTGAAGCAGGGCTTTCTAATTGTCCCATTGCTTGAGATTAAGAGTCAACAAACTTCTGTAAAGGACCAAAGAGAAAATATTATATAGGCCTTGCAAATCATAAATAAAATCTCTGCCACTATAGCATGAAAGCAGTCAAAGACAGGATGCAAACAAAAGGGCATGACTACATCCCAATTAAATTGATTTGTAAAAACAGAAGACAGGCCAGATTTGGCCTGTGGATTGTAGTTTGCCATTGGCATTGTTGGTTCTACATTTTAAACACTGTTGCCTCCATGTGTGCTTTTTGTGTGTGTGCGATAGCAGCCTGCTCAAGGTTCCCTCTGCCTTCTGCCTCTTCAATCCATAAAAAGTTTAGTCAGTTTTTATTATCAACTGATCATACTCATTTCCATCTTTGCCTTTTACTCTCACATTACACTTATCCAAATCCTAGCTTCAAGGTCAAGGTTAGAGTCATGTTTTTTTCAAGGCTTTTCTCAATTCTCTGTGCCTTTATGATCAGCTTTTTCTGTTATCTTCACCACCATTCCTTTTATTTACCTACATGCTATCTTGTACATGAATTTATGTTTTTATGTACACATTCTGTCTCCAGTTATACCACAGCCCTTAAGGACTTGACCACACCTTATGCCTTTCTATTCCCTGTCACTTAACCAAGTCCTAGAACAGAGCAGACACTGAAATGGCTGCTGCTGATGACAATGATGAGATTTATCAAGAGAGACTTGTTTAAATCAGTTTTGTTAAGACACTAAAAAAAATCTTAAGACAGTCCTCTGGAATATTTTTTATGACAAAACAGCTTATTTAGACAAGAATAAATGTATACATAGAAAAAGACTTTTAGATTATAAATGTAAGTCAGAAACTGACCAGTCTTTTTTATGTAAGTAGGTTTTTGACTTATAAAGAACACAACCATTCCTTAAGACATCCACGTGCAAGAGACTGACCTTTTTGTAAGGGGTTCACTTGATGCTTTGACTAATATCCCTTGTGGCTTTGAATCTTACAAGTTTTTTTTTTTTTTTCCCCCAACCTTTTTCTCCCTGGTCTTCTCCTTCCTGATCTTCTTTTCCCTAATCTTCTCCTTCCTGATCTTCTTAATCTCATTTTCTCTGAATCACCTCTTTAAAAACCCCGTTCATTCTGATGGGCAGAATCACAGCTTTTGGGACAGGAGTCAGCAATAATTTGACCCAAGACTACCTTGTTGGACATTTCTAGAATCAGACACATATAGACAGGCATGGTAGTGACAGATTCAATTTCCAGTACTGATGGGGGGATTAGGGAAAGAAAAGAAAAAAGAAAGGAAGGAGGGAAGGAGGGAGAGAAATCAGATGAGTGGAAAGAAATCAAAGGAGTAGGAAGCTGTAGGTTTCTGAGAAAAACATAGCTTTACCCACTGATGCTAAAAAATGCCTCAGGGTAATATTTTTTAAAAAATATTTATTCTTTAGTTGTAGTTGGACACAATACCTTTATTTTATTTACTTTTATGTGGTGATAAGGATCGAACCCAGGGCCTTGCACATGCTAGGTGAGTGCTCTACCGCTGAGCCACAACCCCAGACCCAGGGTAATATTTTTGTTAGATCAAATGATAGCTTTTCTGCATTTTCCCCCATGAATAATCCTATGCATATTTTTAACCTGAATTGCTACCTCTAATGTTTAATCTTTTTGTTGTTGTTCCTGTAATAGGATTTTGGCCGGTGGGGGAAGGGGAGAGATAGGAAATAAAAAAAGATACTCAGAGAAATTTCCCTGAGATTTATCAGTTCATTATATGTATTAATATTGTGTCCTTACTGATGATAATATTGCAGTTCCATTTTAATAGTCAGTTGGTATGTGAAGGAGACTTAAACTGGTAAAATATTTACAAACAAAAAAGTTAAGGAAAGTTTTTTTGTGATATTTAAGAGGGATCCTGAACTCTACTTGATGGCACTGCCATTAGTTTATTTTTTCTAGCTATGTTAGTCTTTGATCTTGGAATTCTATTTTTTAATACCTAGAATCAAGAATAATATTTTCCTTTCAGTGATTCATTACAAATTACAGAACATTATTACTAGCATATTATTAGTGTATTAGTGTATTAGTACCAGTATAAAATCATTAAAAGAGCACCACTCTTTTAAGATGTATCATGATCAGTTTTACTTAGGAAATTAAAAATTGGATGTATTTCCAAATTAAATGATATCTGTTGTACGCAGTATACTATGTAGTAGTCAGTCAGATAACCTTTGGTTCCTCTTCCAATTCTGCTCCCAACTAGCCTTATAATCCTGGGTTACTTAACCTTGACAAAATTTTAGTTTTGTCTTTTATAAGAAAATGATAATATAGACCTCATGGAATTTTTTGAGAATCAAATCAAATAATACAGATGAAGTTAGATCAGCAAAGTGCCTGAACATAGTAAACTCTCAAAAAAAAAATGCTAATATTATTATGTGCAAAACACCAGATATTGGGTGAAAATATTTCATCCAGAAGCCAGGTGTGTTGGTGCATACCTGCAATAGTAGTGACTTGGGAGCTGAGGCAGAAGGATCACAAGTTCAAGACCAACCTGGGAACTTAGCAAGTGCCTTTCTCAAAATAAAAAATAAAAAGGGATGGGATGGGAATGTAGCTTAGTGGTAGAGCACTGCTGGGTCCAATCTCCAGTACTAAAACAAGAAAATGTACTGTCCTGGGAGCTCATCATTTAACAGAGGTCTAAAATACATATTTCAACATATAAATACTTAAAAGATAGCAAAAGAATGAAGTATTTTGGAAGTTCAGAAAGGTAACAATTTGGAGACGGGAAAATATGAAAAAAAAAATTTTTGGCCGTACTGGGGATTGAACCCAGGGGTGCTCTACCACTGAGTTATATCCCATTCCTTTTTATTTTTTTATTTTGAAAAGAGGTCTTGCTAAGTTGCCCAGGTGGCCTTGAATTTGTGATGCTCCTGCCTTAACCTCCCAAATTACTGGGATTATAGGAGTGTACCTGTCTGAAATGGGTTTAAAAGATGGGATAAGAATTAATTGGAAGGAGAATATAAGAATACAGGAATATGCATATGGAAAGGACACCTACATGAAGGATACTGCACAAATAAATATATGCAAGTAGAGGCTTAAGATGAGTTGAAGGGGATGATGCAGATGACCTAATATCTGTAGACTACAGCATGGGGTGAAGAATCAGGTCTGGAATTAGTAATGGATAGAGATCTGAGTACTAGGGGAATAAGACTGAAGGGTGCTGTATTTTGGGTAGCTTAATTTGAAATCCCTTTTATAGAATATAGTGGGATTTTTTTTTCTTTGAGTGCCTTCTTAGTAGGATATTCCCTGAATATCCTAGACTTGAATGTGACTCACCTCTTTGGATAAGGTAAGCCTGCTGGTCTGGGTCACTTGTTCTTGCCCCATGCCGGCTCTGCATTTCCATCAAGGATTGCCTACTGGGATTAAAAACAACACTATATGTGATGTTCTGCAACTATGAACCATGACAACATTAAGCAGTCAACAAAAGTATGGGGAAAAAAAAGAGTCAAACTGCAGTGTCAAGGTTCATAAAAATCAGAATGTGAGATTAAATTGATTTTTTAAAAGAATTTCATTAGGACCTGAATGAATTTTATTTATTTTTACATGGTGCTGAGGCTTGAACCCAGTGCCTCACACATGCTAGGTGAGTGCTCTATCATTGAGCCACAACCCCAGCCCCTTAAATTGATTTTTATATAATATTGGCACGAGCATACTGTGAGGTAAAAGTAAGATCTTTAAAAATCAACTAGGAAATAACCAAACTATTAATTGATACTAGAATGGATTAGAAAATAAGTTACATATTTCTACACTAAGATACTACACAGGTATTAAAACAATGAATTAAATCAGCATGAATCAAAATAGACAGCATTTGAAATCACAATGTTACATAAAGTTACAGAATAATCTCTACACTGATTATTTTGTAATTTAAAGAGAAATAATATTGTTTTAAAATTGGGGTGTGTGTATACACACATGTATAATACAGATGGGAAGGCTACCCACTAAACTGATTGTTCAAAGCAAAGGAAGAGGAGAATAAATGAAGGATGTGGAACAAGAGACTTCAACTTTATCTAAAGCTCCCTTTCATAAAAAAAAATTTTTTTTTGAAGCAAAAAAAAAAAAAAAGATATACTAGGAACTGTCAATTCAGAATTGTGTATATTTTGCTGTGTATTATTTTTTTCCTCTGTATTTTTCTAGAATTTAAAACTTTCCCAAGATGAAATTTTAAAAATCAAGAGAAATTTTGGAAGTATTTTTTTTCAAAGCACATTAGAAATTTAAAGTGTATAGTATATTTCACTCACGACTAGCAGGGTAACATTTGGACACATAAAACATATTTTCACAGCTTTTCTCAAAGCCAAGAACTTGACTGGGTTCCAACAAGTCTCTGTCCAGCTTTGTTAATAAGCCAATCTCAAATGTAGGAACACAAGTGTAGGTAGAGTGATTCTAATAGCTCAAATTAGGAAACATCTTTGACAGGTTACCTCTCCTACAGCCCATGCCGTCATATGTTCTGCCTTCCTCTTGCTTTACCTTACCTGCCTCCATCTTCAAAAGCGTCGTTCTCTTTTAGCAAAATTGCCAGCTGCAATGCCAGTTGCTCCTTTTCTTCATGAATCTTCTCTCTCGCTGCTCTTTCAGCATGAAAATCAGAACAATAAACCTCCATCTGTTAGAGGAAAAAAGTAAAGAAGTTTCTACTGAGATGAATGTGGATTCCCTGCAGATCACCTGTTTATAAGGTTGAGAGTACTGCATCCTCAGGTAGGCCTTGTGAATGATAGGTACATACTCCTGCTAGAAACTTTCCAGCTGCTTTCAAATAATAGATATGAACTGTGTGTTCATGTGTGCTTAAACAGTTAGGACCCTGAAACTGCACTGATATAGGTGGTTTTGGCAATATATGCAACGTTAATTCAGTAAAATACTCCCGTTTCTTTTTTTAAAAAGGTATTCAGAACTAATACAATATAGTAAGTGGCTTATTCACTTTGCTAGATAAACTTAAGAATGCTGCTCTTAAGCTAAATTTAAAATAATAGAAAGATGCTATTTATTGAATTCCAGACACATGTGAAGTCCCCGTGAGGATGTTCATTTCCCATATCAAAAGTCCTGGGATTGGGACTGGGGTTGTGGCTCAGTAGTAGAGCAATTACCTAGCATGTGTGAGGCATTGGGTTTGATTCTCAGCACCGCATATCAATAAATAAAATAAAGGTCCATCAACAACTAATAAAATATTTTTTAAAAAGTCCTGGGATTGTAGAATTGCTATCCTTATTTTATAAACTAGTTTAATAGCTCTTAATCTTTGGAAAAATTGGCCACATCAGTATATGAACCTAGACGAAAGTCCATTTTTGCAAACTACTTCTCTGCCCCTGAGATGGCTCCAATGATCTCCATCTGTTGGTATTCATACTCTTCACAAGAAGAAGGAGCAAGCAGAGCACTTAAGATGGCTTTTTACTAAATGGAACCAAGACACTTGGACACATAGGAAAAAAATATAAATCCAAATTCTTATCTCACTCTATATACAAAAGCCAATTTCTGGTAGTTCATAGATCTTAATATAAAAAATAAAATGGAAAAGTATTTAGAATACAACAAAAAAGAGTATCTTCTTGGCCTTGGAGTAGTGAAAGTTTTTTAAACAGGACACAAAAAAGGTACTAATTATAAATAGAAAGACTGGTATCTTGGACTAGTATAAAGTTAAGAACCTTTCTCATCAAAAGACTCCTTTTTGAGGGCTGGGACTGTGGCTCAGTGGTAGAGTGCTTGCCAAGCACATGTAAGGCACTGGGTTTGATCCTCAGTACCACCTAAAAATAAATATATAAAATAAAGGTATTGTGTGCCTCTACAACTAAAAATATTTTTTAAAAAAGACTCTTTTATGAGAGTGAAAAGGCAAAAACAATGATAAGGGTTTATATCAGACTATATATGGAACTGATAAAATCAAGAAAAAGCCAGACAGACCTAAAGAAAAAATGAGCAAAGTTTTATCAAGCACATCACAAAAAAGAATACCTAGAAGACCAACAAACATTTGAGAGAGTACTCAAACTCATTAGTCATCAATGAAACACCAAATAAATGTGATACCATTACATACTCCCAAAACAATAAAAGTAAAATTGACTGATAATAAAGGCATAGATAGGACCGTAGAGCAATGGAAACTCTGTGGATGGGAGTGAACATTTCCAAAGTGGTACAACCACTTTGGAAAACTGTTTACTTTCTACACTGAGTAACATGCATAGCCTGTGAACTAGCAATTCCACTCTCAGGTGTGTACCCAACAGAAAATGAGTGCCATGAGAACAAAGATATCTACAGGAATGTCACAGTAGCATTAATTATAATGCTACAAATGAAAATAACCCATTTTCCTATCAGTTTTGAAACACAGATGAATAAAATTCATTTGAGCTGTGCACTCTGCAGACTGGAGGTGTAACTCAGTGGTAAACATTTGCCTAGCATGCATGAGACCCTGGGTTTAATCCCTAGCATCACACACACACAGACACACACACACACACACACACACACACGACATTGCCACACTTTTTATCAATTTAAAAGTTTTAAATATTTCACTGGTGGAAGGAATATAAAATAATGTGTGTGTATTAAACACCATCACTTTTGCGTTTGCAAATCTATTTGGGGCTTATCCCACTCAGTTGAGGTTCCACAGCATTTCTTACCTGAGTCCTAAGGACACCCATGGTTTCCAGATCCTCCTCCTGCTTGGCAATGGTCTGTTTCATTTCATCCATTTGAAGCTGCTTGGAAGCCAGTGCCCTCTCTGCCATTTCCAGTTTTGCATTTAGTTCCTGCAGCACTGCCCTGTCCACTTTTTCTGACTACAAAAGACAATTTGATTCTAGAAATGTAGTCTATGTTAGTGAAATGTTAGATAAACCTTTAGTTTTTTTTTTTTTAATTATTAGCTTTGTTGGGCATAGTGACTTACACTAATAATCCCAGTTACTTGGGAGGCTATGGCAGGAAGATAACAAGTTTGAGCCCAGCCTAAGCAATTTAGGGAGGCCCTGTCTCAAAAGAAAAAAATAAAAGGATCTGGGGATGTTGCTTAGTGATAAAGTGCCTCTGGATTCAATCTCTAGTACCAAATAAATACATAAAGAATAAAAAATAAAATAAATAAAATCATTAGCTTTAAATTAGTCTGTTCATTAGCAATACCAACTTACTCAGAAAATCGGATTCATTTAACATATGGCTTGCAAATCATAGTTTCCTGATTTATTTATTTATTTAAAATGTTTTTTACATGTAAATGGACACAATATATTTATTAACATATTTATTTTTATGTGGTGCTGATAACAGAACCCAGTGCCTCACACATGCCAGGCAAGTGCTGTACCACTGAGTGGACAGGGCAGTGCTACCACTGAGCTACAGCCCCAGCCCAGTTACCTGATTTAAAACAACAGTATTTTTAAAAGATAATACTGAAATAGGGACATAATAAGCCCCTCCAGAATTGACGAACTCTAGATAGGGCATTGGGGTGGGAGGAGAAAGGAGGGGGCAGGGGGTTAGCAATGATGGAGGAATGTGATGGACATCATTATCCAAAGTACATGTATGAAGACATGAATTGGTATGAACATACTTTATATTCAAACAGAGATATGAAAACTTGTGTTCTATATGTGTAATAAAAATTGTGATGCATTCCGCTGTCATGTATTTAAAAAATAAAAGCAATTAAAAAAACAACGCCCTCTAAAAAAGAGTATATTTATAAAAATATAAATTCAAAGGCTTTCTAATTCAAAGTTTCCATTGTCTATAAATTATCACACCATGCTGGGCATTATTATCAATTTAAATTGCAAACCAGTGAGTCCAGTGTTCCAAGTTCACTGCCAGCAGGCAAACTAGCCTTGTACATGTGAATGGCCCCTCCAGCCCTAGCCAGCTTTCTTACTGTACACTGTGCACATAGGAGACCATGCTCTTAGCTCTCCTACAGCTCTCTCTACCTACTCTGAGAAATACTAAATGCTTACTCTCTGATAGTGGGACATGAACACCACCTTTGTAACACAAAGCACATTGAACATATGTGAGAAGTTGTAAATATTATGTCACAAGAAACCAATTATAAACTGAAAAGCAACTTTTGAAATGGGACTTAGTCAAGGATTCAGGTAACCTTTTTTTAGGTATAAAATGTTCAACAGTTTCCATTAATCAGTAATCTATTTTTTCTATGAGTACCTCTTTCCTTATTAGTTCCTCAATTGTTTTCAATGCATTATTATGTTCTTGAAGAAGCTTGTTGTGGGTTGACTGTAGAATGGCTAACTTGGACCTATTAAAAAAGATATTAATAAACAGAATCTTGTAGGAGGATATCACAAACTCAAAGCCTTGCCTCTGAATCATCTTCTGAACACTCAAGTAGCAAAATCTCCTCTTATCTTTATCATTCCACCATTTACTAGCATTTTCTTACTCTCAAAACAATAGTGTCTGGGGGGGAAAAAAAGCTAAATACAAAGAATAATTTTGTTATAATAAACCTTTAAAATTTTATCCCTCCAAAGAGTCTCATAGTACTCTTTCAGATAAATAAAAAACAAATTTTGTGAATTTACTCTCTATTCTTAATTCCAATCTGTATTTTAAAAAGGTATTCTTTTGGGCAAGCTCCCATTCTGCACAGTGTACTCACTTTCCATCCTCTGTTTTAGCTTGCTCCATTTTGATTTCTGATCGCATGCTTTCCACTTGCAGCTCTAGCTTCTTGTTATTATAAACGAGCTCTTGCTTTTCATTCAGCTCTGCTGGGGTTGCAGAATTTTTCCTTTCAAGGGCCTGGCATCTAAGAAAGATGAAGATAAACAATGCAATTTCACTTCTCAGTGGCTTTTCAACATATCCAAAAAACAGGTTAAATTCAAAGAAGTTTAAGGTCTGTAGGATTTATGAATGTAAAGTAAAATATTTATCCATTCTGCTTCTTTACTAGACATGTCCATATTTCTGAACTTTTATGTCTAAAAATAAATAAGTACAGATCTAAAGTGACATGAGGTAGTGTCATCTTTGAATAATTGGTGTATGTAGTCATATAAATATATTTTTCTTAGCTAAATACAGACCAAAGTAGAAGTTGGCTAGCAATTATTCTCATGTAGTGATCCATGGGTACTTTTATATTTGAAAAAGTTCTGTCAATCACCAAAACTTGGAATTCTAATAAAGACTCAACAAAGGAAAAAGGAAGCCCCCACAGGTTCTCTTAAATATCAAAAAGAGAATTTCGATCTGGGGTTGTGGCTCAATGGTAGAACACTTGCCTTGCATATGTGAGGCACTGGGTTCAATTCTCAGCACCATGTATAAATAAATGAATAAGATAAAGGTCCATCAACAACTAAAAAAATTTTAAAAAGAGAATTTCAATATAATAATAGCAAAAACAAATCAATGACAGCTATGTGCAAAGCATTAAAGCCAAGCAAATTAAATATCTTATTTAACTTGGTGTACATTAGAGAAATTATGACACATAATTTACACATGACAAAACTTAGGTGCAGAGAGGTTAAATAAATAACTTGCCCAAGGTAATAACACAAACATGTTATATTTGCTATGTCTTGGGTAACTTCTTAGATCAAAAGAAATAAGCAAATGTAAAATTCTCAATTTATATGCTAGCTTTAATGATTGATTAAACAACAAATTGAGATGGACTTTTTCCTAAACTTCACTCAGTCTCTTTTCAGCTTTCTTTTGTGTGTGTTCACATCAGTGTTGTCACAGTACAGGCAATCTGGCTTGCTACTTTGCACAGGTGCCACATAGGCTAGTGTACTTAGAATCAAAGTCCCCATTCTTTCATATTACAACAAGAATTCCATGCTTATACATTAACCTGTACATTAGTGAATTCATATTTTACATAGTCCTGTTTTTCTTTTACTCACTAACATAGTAGCATATATAAAATTATAATAAATATACAGTAAATATTATAGAACTATATTTCTATATAGTAACATACTTAATAAAAATGTGTATTTTTCCAAAGAGGATAAAAGCAGCCTCTTTCTCTTACTTTTCTTGAAGTCTCTTCTTCATCAGCTCGGCTTCACTCAATTTTGTATGAGCCTCTTGAAGCTCCTTAAACAGTGATGTCACCTGAAGGTTCAACATTTCCACTTCGCTTCCAACCTATCATACAGGAAATAACAAACATTCACACTTGATTATCACAAGATTAAATGAACTTCTTTGTGAGAAAAGAGTCTGAACCACTGGTATGGAAATAAGACTGACTGGTGAATAAAGTTTTCACAATTACTACCCCAAATATCTTGCATGAAAAGAAATATTTTGGATACAATTCTACTTCCTAATAGAGCATTAATCAATTTGAATGCTCTTCTAATAATGATTTTTTACTACTAAAAAGTAATCTTACATATGGCTCAGTGATCATAGAGATTAGAGAGTATCAAAGCACATCCCTATTTATTGTCTATCAATTCATCTACATATTTCCTAACTAATTTATGTTTCTAGTTTGCACAACATTTTCATTATACAGCCTTTTCCTTGACAGTCCTGTAATTCATAAATGAGTTTTACAATATCTTGGAAGTCTTGATACTTCTGTTACTGATAGTTGAATTTTTTTGTTGTTTTTGTCAACAGAGTGCGGTTACACACTGGTGGTTGCTACATCTGTTTTCTAAATAGTCTCGATTCTTTTGAATACATGGCCAACAGTAGGCATTTGATATATAAATTTTGTTAAATAAGTCCATTAGTTAAAATGGCTATTTTATATAAGTACCTACCACATGGACTACTGTGGCTATCATAACTTCATGGTTTCATTAACTCTTTCTAAATTTAAGACTCTTCAGACTGAAAGATACATCTCTAAGTTACACACAACAGTGAATGTACATACATGGACCTTTCTTATTCCAAGTACTTTGTTCCTACCATTAGAGACATACAACCAAGATCATTGAATTCCACAATTTTCTGAGTTATATCCTCAAGTAATCTCATTATAAAGTAGATGAAGTTCCTTTTTAATGTAGTGAGCTTTCTCACATAAGGATTTAGGAGACAAGAAGCGATATAGGAGTGGTTTTGTAGAATACTGATTGAAATATATCTCACTATAATTAACACTGAGTGAAGCTCAAACTAGGACAAGAAATATTAGAGAAATAAAAAAAAATTTTTACTATTATTTCTACATTTTTTAAAGCTAATACACATCACAGCCACTGTATTACTCTTTATCCACTGGGTGTGTCAGCAGTCTTGGAATCTTAGTACCCACAGTCTCTGTGTCTTTCTCCTCTTCATTCTCTTTTTCTGTGCTGCCCTCTGTCTGGGTCTCAACTTCAGAACGATCATTTGCTTTCTTTTCAAAATCTGAAATTCTGAAAAATTACAGAATGTTAAAAAGTTACTTTCGGCTCAAAAGGAGTAGCAATTACAGAAGTACTCCAAAGAACACTTCAAAATCTGGGTAAAGAATCAGGGTTTTTCAAAATCTCTACATTCACTGTATTAGCAATAGTTTTGTTTTTCATTCTAAGACTGGCTAGAACTGATGTGATTTAAGATATGAATATATGTAGAAGTGAAACCCAAGAATAACTCATTTTGAATACTGCCTGTTTTCATGTGACTGGACTATCCAAAAATATTTTTAAAATTTCTTGTGTGTGTATACACATGTAGATATGTGTGTGTCTTCCATGAGTGTTTGTCCCACTTATAAGAAACTAACAGAAGGAAAGACTTTTCCTTTAGGATCTATCTGAATTTATAAGTTCCTGAACAGACAGACACAGCACATTTTTACACTGAGTCATAATCATAGGAAAGCCATTCCAGTATAAATGAAAAAAATGGAGATGGGTTAAATATAGGAAGTCGAGTATGTGCATATAATTCTTATCCTACCCCAAATGCTATGAAAATGACTTTCAAAAACCTATGTGACTATAGGAACAAAGAGAAGGTGAAAGCAAATAACAAAATTTAGAAAGCACAGGACTGAGTGGGGACAGGCTCAGCATTCCAGGAAGGTGACCCTGAGCCAATAGTAGGGAGTGCCATTAAGTAACATGATTTATACTATGGAAACTCCAAAAAGGCTGGGGTTAGTGGGTACCTCTGGATGTGGTAAAGGTGGAACCTGTTTAAAAAATGTTGTAAGATAAAAAGTAAAGGATTCTGGACTCAAAAGAGTTAAGCAGAGAGATTGGGCCTTCTATTTAAAAGGGAACAATTTACATAGATACAGCTTAAGGCCTCAGCCTTCTTTACCTACTCATCTCAAGAACACTGGCATCTAGAAAAATGACCTTCAGGCAGGAGGTTAGAAGCATCTTCTCAGGAGAATCTGACTAGGACAAGGGAAAAGATTTTAAGTTTCAGACGTGAGGTTTCCCCAGGAACCTCCCAGCTTATCTCCCTCCAGATGCTCACAACGCTTCAAGTAACTTCTAACTCTTACTTACTCTTAAGTCTCATCAAACAGCCAAGATTTCCAGACAAGATTACCTTAAAATAAAACAAATATTTTCTACTGAAAGTAAAATATGCCAGTGGGAGGTGGGAGTGCTATCCCCAGAGACATAAGGAAATATATCGCAGTCATTGAGAAAGGAACATTAAAAGCAAGGAAGCATGTGCACATGTACACCCACGCATGAGCACTCCCCCAATACAATAGAGATGAAAACTGAAAAAGGAAAATGAGAAAGAGATGCCAAAGATGAGCAAAAGTTAAGAAAATCAGATGATGGGTCCAGGAGATCCAATTCAAAACAAAACAATAGTAGGTTCTAGGAAGGCAAATAAAGGAAAAAGAGACTAGGAAATAATTTTTAACTTGAGATTATTTGTCAAGAAATGAAGGTCAGCCAGGAGTAGTAGGGTACATCTGTAATGTCAGTAGCTCAGGAGACTGAGGCAGGAGGATTATAAGTTCAAGGTCAGCCTCAGAAACTTAGTGAGGCCCTGAGCAATTTAGCAAGACCCTGTCTTAAAATAAGAAATTAAAAGGGCAGGGATGTTGCTCAGTTAAGGTCATGAGTTTGCAGAATGAAAAAGGTGCAAGGTTAAAAAACAGGCTCACACCCAGAGCACATGTGAAATTTCAGAATACTTGAGACAAAGCAAAGAACTTTCAGAGAAGAGGAAAAACAAAAAGTTTTCATACAAAAAGATTAAGGATCAGAGTAGCAATAGATTTCTTAACAGTAAATCTAGAAGCTAGAATACAATGAGGTGACGCTTTCAAAAACTGGAAAAAAAATAATGTCCAATCTAGAATTCTCTATCTAACACAACTATCCATTAAGTATAAAGGTAGAGAGATTTTTTTTGATAAGTAGACCTCAGAAAACATATGCCTCATATTCTCAGTATGGAGATGTAGTGTACACTACTTAGTAAAAGAGTAAGAAAGACACTGGATTAAGGAAATGAGATCCAACACTGGAGAGCAAAGGAATTCCACAGGATGATGCCAAAGGAAGATGTTGAGATGACTACAATACAGCAGGACCCAGAAGTGACCACATGAGACTCTTGGAGAAGATTCTGCAAGAAAAGCACACTACTATGCTATCAGTGTTTTGTAAAGTAATTAAGAGATTTCCTCACTGGAAGAGAGTACATGGGGAAACTCAGTGCTAGGGTTTGAATGTCGCCCTCTGAAACTGAAACTTATGTTGATTAATTGTCATTGGCATTATAACAGTATGGTCATGCATGGATTAAAGCTGCTTCAAGCTCAGGAGTGAGAACCTAATAAAACAATGACAGTAGCTCTCTTTTTCTATTGTGCATGCTTGCTTGCCTTCTTCCATGTTATGACATAGTAAGAAGAACTTCAGCAGAAGCAGCCCCTCTATCTTGAACTTCCCAGTCTCCAGAACCAGAAGCCATATAACTTACATTGTTTAAGATGTAAGCATCTATAGTATTCTGTTACAGCAGCAGAAAACGGACTAAGACTTAAGCAAAAAATAAAGCAGTGTTAGAGATTGAACCTGGGGCCTTGTGCATGCCAGGCAAGTGCTCTACTACTGAGCTCCATCCTCAATCCTTTTTTAAATTTTATTTTGAGATAGTCTCATTAAGTTACTAAGGCTGGCCTTGAACTTGTAATTCTCCTATCTCACCCTCCTGAGTAGATGGGATTACAGGCTTGTGCTACCACAATCAGTAGCAAATTTCCAAAAAGGAATTATATACAGAGGTTAAAAAACGTTTTGTCAAAAGGAAAAGTGGTCATGGCATAGAATATAGCTCACCTGTGAATTGTGTGTGTGTGTGTGTGTTGTGTGTTGTGTGTGCGCGCTAAATAATCATCTAAATAAATTTCAATATAATCAATTTCAGAGGCAGGGAAAGGACAAAATGGAGGGATCCAAAAACATATGTGTGGTGTTGATGATGATGTGTAAGAGAGTTAAATCTTCAACATGCATAGTGGGAGATTAATAGATTATGTACAAAATGTTTTAAAAAATTTAAATAACAATTTAAGCCTAATATATGAAGGTAAATATCAATAAAACCAAGTAAATATGTTGGAAGTGTTTGAGAAGAAGGAAAAAGTATCTGGAATGGCTGGTCAAAGAACTGTTATTTTTCTGTAAGAAGCTTATAGAACAATTTATTATATGAATGTAAAAGTGATTTTTAAATAAGGACTTAGTGATGATAAAAAGTAAAATAACACTGGATTCTGTTAAAGTTTGCCAAACCTAATTGGTGTACAGGAACTGTCTCTGGCTAAGCCCAATAAATGGGTTAAGTACCAGATGATAGGGGGCAAGAGGTTAACCTTTACACCACCACTCACACAGGACACAGGTTTTTGACTTATAATTCAGTTACAACTTAATTTTTATAATTAAATTTACAATTTTTTTTTTTTTTTTTTGTGGTGCTGGAGATTGAACCATGGCCTTGTACATGCGAGACAAGCACTCTACCAACTGAGCTATATCCCAGCCTCAACCTTTCTTAATTAAAAAAAAAAAAAAAAAAAAATATCTATATATATATATATATATATATATATATATATATATATATATATATTTATATTTTAGTTGTAGTGGTTGGACACATTACCTTTATTTATTTATTTTTATGTGGTGCTGAGGATTGAACTCAGCACCTCCCATGTGCTAGGCGAGTACTCTACCACTAAGCCACACACAACCCCAGCCCCTCTTAATTTTTTTAAAGCATTTTTTAACTTTTATTTTATTTATTTATTTTTATGTAGTGCTGAGGATCAAACCCAGTGCCTCACATGTACTAGGCAAGCGCTCTACCACTGTGCCATAACCCCAGCCCCAACTTTCTTAATTTTTTACCTTGAGCTGACTTTTCATTGCCACCTCTTAATTTTCCAGGGCTACATTTCTTATAGAATTTCCTGCTCCTTACTGGCTATCGGAGTATGTTTAGAAACACACATATTACATGAAATATTAATCCTGGCAAAACTGTAGACAAATCTACTATTCACTTTCCCCATAAATCACCTAAAAATTTTTCAGAGTAACTTTTATATATACATTTAGAACAACTGTTTCCTATGATTAATGAAAATGCTTGAAAACTGACTTATTTCAGAAAAAGACATGTTATATATTGCACATGTGTTTTTATCATATCTGTGTATAGTGTGTGAAAATCAAGCCAGGTTGTTCATGTGTCAGTGATTTTGTTCCTTAGTTTCAGACCTACCTTATCTAGGAGGAAATCCTCCTATGCCCACATAGAGAACATTATTCTCAGCAGCTAGTTACTGACTTGTTAGTTGTTAAATATTGAGAGAAAGCTGGTTACAAATCAGAAATTGAGAGTTATTGAGAAAGAGATCTTTACAGGGTGCTCATGTGAGGCATGAGGACTTCATCTCAAAGGCAGGCCTGACTCATTACCTACAATCTGAAGAAATAAATACCTCTAGGCATCTGGTAGAAAGCTATGACTTTTTCGAAAGCAGGTAATATAATTTCGTATGAAAGATCATTATTTATAACTAGCAAGTTCCTAAGTTTATACTTCTACTAATAAGGCCAATCATATTGGCTTAAGGATGAATTGTGTTAAACTTGACTTTTTGGAATGGTATATAGAACTTGAAAAATAAAATATGCCTTTAAAATACAAATATACTGACTACCCATTGCTGTTAAAGTTCTCATTCACAGAACATCTTCTTTTAAAACTCAACTATAATAATAAAAAGAATGCTTTTATTTGTACTACTTACTATGTTTTTGAATTTACTGAAAAGAAAGGATGATTATATTTCCTCATTAGAAGACAATGGAGGTAGTAGGTTCCTAGACATTAACTCTGAACTTTTCTGAATAGTAGTGTGTGGGGTAAAAACTTAGATGCCTCCATGCCCTTTTCACCTTTGAAAAGAGTTGATCACCAAATAAGACACTGGACAAATACTGACATGTCTTTCAGGTTATTTTTTTTTTTCATTCTGGAAAAAAAAACAACTTATATTTAACATTTAAGAAGAGATCTCCTTATAGTTAAAATTCTAAACTGTTTCAACTGCAAAATACTTTCTTTTTTCCTAAGAGAGGATTGAACCTAGGACCTCTCAACATACTAGGCAACTGCTCTACCACTGAGCTACATCCCCAGCTCTGGAAAGTATTAAAGTGCTGCAGTATAAGATTAAGCCAGACATGGTGATGTATTCCTATAATCCCAGAGACTCAGGAGGCTGAGAAAGGGGGATCAAAAGTTCGAGGCCAGACAGGGCAACTTAGCCAGACCCTGTCTCAAAATTAAAAAATTAAAAAAGGGCTGGGGATGGAGCCCAGTGGTAAAGTACCGCTGGGTTCAATCCCCAGTACCACAAAGACAAAACAAAACAAAAAAGCAACGGATAATGTCTGAGAGAATTAATTATGCCATAGTATATTATGATTAAATGTTCCAGTCACAAGAACCCTAAAACTATTTATAACCTCCCCTGTATCTTATACTATATACTTTGTATTCTAAAAAGTATATTTATAAACAGAAATTACTGACTTAAAAATGCATAAGACACATAAATGTACCCCTGAAACCAGTCTAAATGATTTTGTTTACAACAGCATTATGTTATAGCTATTTCCATATAAAAAGATTCATTGGATATTTTTTAAAGTGTATGTATCCAGAGGAGGAGGTACCAATTCTCAATTCATTCTATGAAGTCAATATTAACCGAGACCAAAACTAGACAAAGATATCTCAAGAAAACTATGAATTATTATCCCTTATATATTTAAGTCCTCAACAATATACTAGCAAACTGAACCCAGCAACATATAAAAAGGATTATATATCATGACAAACTGGTAATACAAAGTTGGTCTAACCTGAAAATCAATTAATATGATATACTATATATAAAGGTTTTTCTAAAACCATATGATCAACTCCATATACACATAAAAAGCATTTGAAAAAATCCAAACCCCTTTCATGATAAAAATTACAACAAACTAGAAATAGAAAGGAACTTCTCAACCTGATAAAGGCATCTATGAAATACCCACAGCTAACATTATATTTAATGGTAGAAGATTGAAAGCTTGGAGTTGAGTACTTGCTGAGCATGCAACAGGCCCTGGGTTCAATCCCCAGTACCACTCTCTTCTACCAACACACACACACACACACACACACACACACACACACACTGAAAGTTTTTCCCTGAAGGTTAGGAACAAGACAAGGATGCTACATTTCTAGTTAATACCACATTACAAGTTCTAGCCAGGGCAGTCAGGCAGAAAAAGAAATAAAAGGCATTCAGATTAGAAAGGAAGAAGCAAAACTATCTCTATATGCTAATGATACAGTCTGATTCTGTAATAAAAAAAATCCTGAGGATTCCACTAAAAAATTAGCACTTAATAAATGACTTTAGTAAGGCTATTGGACATAATATCCACATACAAAAATTGTTTGGTTGTATTTCTATGTAATGCCAATGAGAAAGCCAAAAAATAAGAAAACTATTCCATTTACAGTAACATCAAAAAGACTAAAATATTTGGGAATAAATTTTGCAAAAAAAAAAAAAAAGGCAGGATGTGTTGAAAAGTACAAAACAGGACTTGCCTAGCATGTGCAAGGCCCTAGATTCAATCACCAGCACTGCAAAAACAAACAACTTCCCCAAAACAAACAAAACCCCAAACCAAAAATCCCTGAACTATTAAAAATACAAAACATTGGGCTGGGGATGTGGCTCAAGCGGTAGCGCGCTCGCCTGGCATGCGTGTGGCCCGAGTTCGATCCTCAGCACCACATACAAACAAAGATGTTGTGTCCACCGAAAACTAAAAAATAAATATTAAAAAATTCTCTCTCTCTCTCTCTCTTTCTCTCTCTCTCTCTCTAAAAAAAAAAAATTAAAAAACATAAAAAATAAAAAAAAATACAAAACATTATTGGAAGACATTAAAGAAGATACAAATAAATGGAAAAGCATCCCATGCTCATAAGTCAGGATATTGTTAAATGATAATACAGCGCAAACTGATATATAGATGCAATGTAAACCCTAAAAAAAAATCAAGACTGTATGCCTGCATAAGGACAGGACAAATATATAGATCAACGAAACAGAACCAAGAGCATAATGAAATTAGCCTTCTAATCACTCCATACATAATAATGAACTCAGAATGGACCACAGACTTAAATGTAAAGTTAAAACAATAAAAATCTTCAGAACACAGAGTAAAGCTTTGTGATACTGGGTTAGACAATGATTTCTGAGATACCGTACTAAAAGAATAGATGACAAAATTAAAAGAGAGAAATCACATCAATATAATTTTTTTTCTTGCACTGCAAATAATATCATCAAGAAAGTGAAGGGTTGAGAATGTGCTATAGTGGTAGAATATTTGCCTAGCATGAGCTGAGTTCAATCCTCAGTAGCTCAGTAACATGAAGGAAAAAAAAAATGGAAAGGGAAAGGGAAGGATAAAAACAACCTACAGAATGAGAGAAAATATTTGCAAATCATACTTTTAATAAATAACTAGTCTATTTGAATAGCTATTTCTCCTAAGAAAATTAAACATGAAAAGATTCTCACTACGGAATTAGAAATCAAAACTACAATGAGATGCCAATTCACATCTACTAAGATGGCTAAAATAAAAATGGTAGACAAGTGTTGATATGGATGTGAAGAAAGTGGAATACACATATACTGCCAGTGGTAATACACAATGGTACAGCCTCTTTGGAAAATGATTTGGTAGTTCCTCAAATATTAAACAGACTAGTAATTCCATTCTCTAGGTATACACCACAGAGAATTAAAAACATGTCCAAGCAAACACTTATATCTATATGTTCATAGAAGCATTCACAATCAACAAATGTTCATCAAGTGGTAAATGGGAAAATGTCACATATCCAATGTAGAATATTATTCAGCAGTGTTATGGTTTGGATGTGAGGTATCCCCCAAAAGCTCATGTGTGAGACAATGCAAGAAGGTTAAGAGGAGAAATGATTGGGTTATGAGGGCCTTAACCCAATCAGAGAATTAATCCCCTGATGGGGGATCAACTGAATGGTAACTGAAGGTGGGTAGGGTATAGCTGGAGGAGGTGGGCATTGAGGTGTTGCTTTGGGGTATATATTTTGTATCTGACAAGTGCAGTCTCCCTCCCTGGTTTCTGATCATCATATGAACCTCATCTCCACCATACTCTTACACCATGCCTCATCTGGAGCCCCAAGGAATGGAGCTGGCCTTCTGTAGACTGAGACCTCTGAAACCATGAACCCCTAAATAAACTTTTCCTCTTCTAAAATTGTTCTTGTCAGGTCTTTTATTCACAGTGGTGAAAAAGCTAAGTAAAACAAGCAACAATAAGGAATTAAGTACTGATATATGGTACATTGTATATATATGAACCTTAAAAATACTATGCTAACTGGGCATGATATTGCACACCTGTAATCCCAGCTACTTAGGAGCCAAGGCAGGAGGATCATCCTGTCTGGGCAATTTAGCAAGATTCTTTCTCCAAAAATAAACAAACAAACAAACAAACAAATAAATAATAATTGGAGGCTGGGATATAGTGCACTAGTAGCATATGTGAGACATGTGAGGCTCTGAATCAACCCCCAGTACTAGAAAAAAAAATCACTATGATAAGTCAAAGAAGCCAGTCATAAGAGTCATAAAAGATCACATATTTTGTGATTCCATTTATATGAAATGCCCAGAATTGGCAAATGTATAGAGACAGAAAGAAGATTACTGGGAGGCATGGGTAGTATAGACACACTAATGGGATTTGGATTTCTTGTATGGTATGAGGGAAAAAATATTCTAAAATTATATTGTGGCAATGATTGCAACCCTAATACAGAATATTGCACAATATTGTGAAAATATTGAAATGTAAATTTTAAATGGAAGAACTGTGTGGTATCTTAGTTATATTTTAATAAAGTTATTAAAAAAACAGTGTATACACATTTCAGGTCAAGCTATCTCATACCTTTCTTTGGCTTCTTTGAGAGCAATTTCAAGTCTCTCCACCTTCTGGTTTCCTTCCCTTAGGCAAAGTAGGAGCTGGCTCACAGTTAATTCTTCAAATTCCAAATAATTCTTGGCATCTTTGGCAGATTTGCTCCTATATTGATACCACCACCACATTCAGTATAAAGGTTAAAAGGTTTTTTTAAATCAAAAAATGAAAACCAACACTTAGAGTAGCCCAATATAACTAAGACCAGCTTAAACAAACTGTTTTCCAGAACATTCTCCAATTAATTCTCATCTACTGACAGATGCATGGTCCCAAGACCCATATTGCTATGCTCCTCCTTACTTTCTGGGGAAAGTGTAGAGACTGACAGTGAGACTCCAGAGAAGATAGCCTTAAAGTATAACTTGCTGTTTCTGAATGGTCACTGTGTAAGTAAGACCCCAAAACTCGCTTTCCAGAGATCTAGTCTCAAAGAGGACTCAGCCAAACAAACTACACTGGCCTTTCTCCAACTTGAGAAAGTCAATTTTACAAGTCAAGAAAACATTTTTTTTCTTTTTGTTTCAAGTAATCAAAGACAAATATAGCCAATGTTGTCAAATATTTTTCTTGACTTCAAAATATGATTGAATAGAGACATTTTAATGACAAACAAAACCATGGCTACCACTCTAAAAACATTCAGGGACTATGATGATGCCTATGGCAGGCACTATTTCAGTAAACTACTGGAGCTCACAAATCTAATAAAGAAATTGAATTCCATTACTAGGACTCCAAAGCTCAAACTCTAAATCTAGAAATCAATCTCAAACTCCTTCTGATTATCATAAATAACATAGAGTTGTTGTTATTTTTTTTTAAATAGCACGGTGGCTTAAAAGAAGAACTGATCTTTGCATGTGGTATGAATGAGGAGGAAGTGGCTTGAAATTGTCAAACAATTTTCTTCCTTCCTTATACTTCCAGGAAAGTCTTCTGATATTAAAAATAGCAACTTGGGGGAAAAGTTTTAAGAATTTTTAACCTAAAAAGAGAATAATATTCACTTATGCCAACAGCCATGTTTGATGAAAGAATATTGTCTAATATTTTCTCTCTGATACAAAAGTTTGGAAACATGATTGGATTTTTTTCACCTTTTATAAGTCATTATCTATGTACATTCATCAAGTTATAGAAAAAAAGGTTTTAAAAGTCTATGAGGCAATCTGGGGATGTAGCTCAGTAGTACAGTACTTGCCTAGCATGTGTGAGACCTTTGGTTCAATTCCCAGTACAACAACAACAAAAACAATCTATGCAGTGCTAGACACAGTGGCTGTAATCCCAGCTACCTGGAAAGCTGAGGAGGATTGCAAGTTTGAGGCCATCCTCAATTTAGCAAGAACCTGTTGCCCTTTCATTATTTAAGATGTCTGTTTCCCAGCATCTACTTGGTTCAGGTAAACTTGAGACTCCACAGATAAGACACCTGGGCACTTTCAAGAAACTCCTACAATGATTGCTAGCACTAACAATAATCGTTAGAGAGGATCACCAGCACTGGTCACTCTGGCTTATAACTAGGGATGAACAGGGAGATGAAAGTGATACATCTCATTTATGGAAGCTGGGCAGCCTGGTCCAAGTCACACAGCACTGGTAAACAAATTAGCAAACATGGGTCTTTGGGAAGCAATATCTTCTTTTGATGGAGGGCAGGACTCTTTTCACTTCTTACCTGATGGAGATGAAACACCTACAACAGAGTAGTCTGCATTAGTCAGCCTAAAAAAGGCACCAAACATTGTTTTTATTCTCCGCCAGTTTGGGCTACAACATTAAATAGCATTCAAACTGAATATTAATGAAAGGTCCTACTATAAATCAATAAAAAGTTACTTCTCCAGCCCATCATGTTTGACCTCCAGTGACAGACTCAAAGGGACAAGACTGCCCCATCTTTCTGCCTGACAGTTCTAGTCTTTCATCACATACATGTCAATGGAGTCTGTTCTTGTAGGCTCAAGACTATTCTTGATTTCTTTTAATGTTCCATCTGCTTCTCCTTCCTGTAAAAGCAGAAATGAAAGGGATTTAACACAATATATCTACAAGACAAATTGTTTGTCAAAAGAAAAGAAAAAGGGAAAAGATCAAGAATTTTGATGATACAACCCAGGAAACTACGCAACATTTGAATGTGAAATGATTAAATTAGGTCACTCAAGTGGAATGGAAATTTACTCTTCCCTCAGCCTGCACACTCTGTCAGGATTATAAATATCTAGGCCAAGGCGTAAAGGTCAGACTCTTCTCATTGAACACACTCACCCAGACTCCATAAACATAAGCTTATCTCCTATCTTCTTGGCAGTTCCCTTTTTCCCTAGGTTAAGACCACACAGCTAACAATCCCACATATCTTTCTTGTGCAGCCCTTTAAAATGTAAAATACTAGAACTCTGTGAATCAAAGTTGACAAAGAGGCAATTTTCTTTGGATGAGGCTTACCATCTTTTTTTTTTTTTTTTTTTGCCAAATTAGGGCTTGTTAGAAATTTGCATGCACCATAGGCCATTTAGGGATGTTAAGTAAGACTAAAGCAGTATTTGCAAGGCAGTTATATTCAAATAAACTAATAGGGAAATCTTCAAAAATTATAACAGATATTGTAGATATACTTCCTAAATCTTTTTTTTTTTTTTTGATATCACACTGAGCCACACATCCAAGCCCTTTTAATTTTTCTATTTTGAGACAAGTTCTCATGAAGTTGCTTATAGCCTCACTAAGTTGCTGAGGCTGGTTTCAAACCTGCAATCCTCCTGCCTCAGCCTCCTGAGCTGCACTTTCTAAATCTTGTGCAGTATTTTCAAGTTCACAGCAGTGAGACAAGCACAACTGTCACTTATCTGTGAGGCAGAAGATGATGTTAACTGTAAGAGAACAAGCCTAATTTGGAGAAGTCCGATATACTCTTTGGGCTTCCTGAATTTTATCAGTTATTTGCAGAAGGTTAAAGCTCTTTGATCAAATTTCTGCTTCAGTAATCTTCCAGGAGGGACACTCTGATAAAGGAGCCTTTTCAAACCTAAATTTCTCCTGATTTTGGCATGGATAGTAAGGTCACTAAGAGCCATTTTCCAACTCTGTTAATCTTTAGTGTGGTAAGTGAATAAGGAAGACCCACAGTAATATTCCAGAATAACTAACAGTTCAGGTGTTTTTCAAGTTGATCCCCACTACCCCTGACTGATCTATAAAGTCCATTTCCTTTTTCAGGGCACAATTTATCTCTTTTCCTATATCAGATCTGCACTTTGACAAAGCTCAAATGACCCTCCTATATTACAGAGGATTTTATCCTTGTGTGTTTTTCTCCTTCACTGTCCAATCTTTTGTAGTGTCATTGAAGGAGAGGCCCCTACATGATCTACATACCCATTCTGCTCTTTAACAGGACTATGTGTATATCCAGAAACAGTCGTAACAGACACTTCACAAGAGTTTAGGGATCAATATACACCACCTTGCTTAGCTCACTTCATTTTGGGTTGACAGGAATTTGACTTTGACAGCACTGGATTCAAACTCAGTTCTCATATACCCCTCAACCTGTAACAGTGGTCCACTTTATGCTTTGAGTATAATTCTTACTGCTCTGCCACTGCAACTTATTTTTTTAAATGGACATGTTTCTTTCTCCTTCTCTCTCCTGGCTCCTCCCTAATCTCAGGGGAAACAGGATTACCTTTCTTCCCCATCCTAGGCAGAGTACACATTCACCATAGGAATGAAGTAATCCAGACTTTGGGGATGGTACCAGAAGTTCTCAGAAAGGTCTTATCTCCCAAATGAACAAGTGAATTACAACTCCAGAGAACACACAGAATATAGCCTTTGAGTCACCTCTTTAAAAGCCCCCTGTTCTTGCTGATGGGCAGAGTCATGGCCATTGGGACAGGAGTCCCCTGTGTTTCTCTTTTGCTAGCAAAGCAATAAATCTTCTTTTTTCCTTTTTCTCAAAATCCTGTCCTTGTTATTGGATTGGCTTTGTGGACAATGACCAAGATTTTGGCCACAAATCTACCACCAGAACAGCTCTTCCCTCTCTTCTCATTTTTAATTTCCATGGTTCCTCATAAGATTTTGAAAAGAGAAACCCACAACTAAAAAGTATTTAAAAACCATTTGTTACTACATTTGATCACAATTCTGCTCATCTAAGTGAAATGGTCTTACAGCTTTGAGACCTGATTTAAAAAAATGACCAGAAAGTTCATACATGTTTTTTGTTTTTGAGTTGTTTTTAGGTCAGTCACAAAACATCCAATTTGCCAGGACAAGTTGGGGAAAATGTTTATATCTTTTGTCATAAAAGGTAATTTATGTTTTTCATTTTAGCTAGGAAACCCTTGCAAGCATTGTACTTAAAAAAAATGGGAGCCAATTTATCATTGCTACACTGAAATTTCCTCATTATTTCACTTCCATCGTTGGCAAAAAATTGTGGTAATTGTTTCCTCTGTCTAGATGAGGCTTTATAGTTTGCTTAAAACAAGACCAAAAACAAAACTCTTACAGCCATTTTGATTTCAACAAAGGAGTCTTCTGAGGAGCCGCTGGCAGTCAGCTTGAGCTGTAATTCAGACACGATGCCCAGCAGGTCTGCCTTTTCAGCCTGAAGGCGTGCCACTTGGGTCTTCAGCTGTTCCACTTCCTGCTCTGCTACCACCTTGGGAACCCTAGAGTCACCAGTGGGGTCCTGGAAATGACAAGGAGAATAGCACATAAGGAAATCAAACCAAAGGCCTACCCATCAAACTTGATTGTCCTCACACTCATGGACAAGGCTGTTTTCAATATCTTTGTCCCCTGGTTTAAATAGAAAACCCAGCTTTTACTTGACATGTATTTTAACAGAACATTTAAGGTGGAAATTTTTACTGTGTGTGCGTTTCTGGGTATTGAACCCAGTGACTCTCTACCACTGCATTACATCCCTAGTCCTTTTTATTTTTTATTTTGAGACAGATAAGTTGCATAGGCTGCCCTCAAACTTGAGATCTTCATGCCTCAGTCTCCGGAGTAGCTAGGATTCATATGACACAATGCCCAGCATTTTACATTATTTGTGTTGTACTCAAATAACAGAAATTTAAAATGACTTCATGACAAGAAAGTAAGTCTTCAATAGCACATTGGAATATGGATATTATGAAAAGAACCAACCAGATTTTGGCAATGGTGATTTAGGCCAAAACTCTAGAAAACAAGAAGAAAAAGCTGTGCTAACTCAAACTCCTACCTTTTTTCCTCCCTAGAAATGTCCACTTATCCCCGCTCTCCTTATACTCATGATATCTAATTAGAAGCCAAAGCACCAAGGATATTACTTGGTCCCGTGACAGCAAAACCCAAATCCTCCCAATATGTAAGCTGGTGGGTACAATATTCTATGTTGGTGTTTGAAAGTTGGTAAAAATAAATCTGTTGAGAAATAGGAAATTTAAAATTCAGAGATTGGTACCAAAAGCAAAATAAATAAATAAATAAATAAATAAATTTTAGCCTATAAAAACTAATATCCCACTAGTGCCTACTATGCATTGTGTTCACCCTGTTGCAATGACTGCATATGTCAACGTCACAGGAGAAAGACCCTTTTCAGGTGTGGCATTTTCACTTGGGAATAGGCAGAACAGATCTTGTCTATACTCTGCCCATCACTGGAGGTATATGGCCTTTAACAGAATCCCTGAAATTCCTGGCCTCAGTTCTTTTAGGTTAGAAAGGAAAATGTGACACCACACATAGTTGGTTCTCTCCCTAAGAAACCTCCATGGCTCTATGTGCATGACAACATGCTTCATTTAGTTCCCTTTCCAAATTAGGAGTATAGATGCTTGAGAGCACCAGAAAATTTCAGCATTCCCTGCATCTTAATAGTACAGTGAAAAATAACAAATATTTGAGACCAGCCTTTAAAGAAAAATCTTAATTCTCAGAAACTGTTAGCCTAATTAAGTATTATCAACATGATCTCTAAACAAATAATTTAAATGAGTGATCCCTAACTTGTAGTCAGCATTGTCTGAAAATTTCCTCTCTTAACCTCTCTAAAAGATTTCCCAAGAAACAAAGAACAGGCCCAAAGGTTCAGAGTGGAACTTTAGCAGTATGAGAAAGACACGTGGCTGGACCACGAACCAGTTACTGACTTGTAACCCGACGGGCCTCCCGCTGCCCAGGTGATGCTCTGCCTTCAGCTGGAGCAGTGCCGTGCTGGGAACTACCACACATTCAAAGGAAAGCAGCTCAAAGAACCCCAAGAAGCAAGTTCCAAGGAAAGGTCAGAAGCTGTGCAGTCTCTCTCAGCAATGACTCACACAAAAGAAACAAAGGTGAAGAATGAAACAGGAAAAGGATAGGTACTACCTCACCTAGAACCAGGAACGATTCCTTTTTAGGAATCATTGTGTGTGCCCTCTTGACCTCTCTAAGGACATTTTGTAGAAAGCATTTTTATACACTTTGGTATAAGGAGAGAAAATAGAGTTTTAAACAAGTGTTTGAGGATCAAGGATAAAAAACTGACATTAGAATCTCAGATTATTAGTCTAAATTTTCTTTTTCACAATTCCCTTAATTGTACTCAGGAAATAATAAATCCAATTATTTTTCCATGAAACTCCTTATAAGATAATCCTTCAAATTTCCCTTCATTTACTACTGAAATCCTTTCCTTTGCTTCCTGGATTAGCGCTCCTATGGTTTAGCTCTGATCTCTATTCCAACTCCATTCTTTTTTGCTCTCTTTCATCACTTTGAGCCCTTACCACTGACCTTCATGTGACACAATTTGTCTTTTCATGTATTTGTACAATCTTTCCTCCCACTGTCCTGAAAATGTGCCTAAGTTAATATGCAAACTTAGAATCCTAGAAGGATTCTATCTATTGACCCTGCATAGCCATTTGTACAATTAAGGTAGAAAACACTCCCTTGGAGAAAATTTTAATGCATAATTCAGTGAAATCAGACAGAACCACTAGTGCCTGGCCTCACCCTGAGGATCAGAAGGTAGACCTCCAAGGGAGATCTCTATTCATCCTCATGTGGAGTTTGTGTCCTCTGATTACCTGCCTTGAAACAGCTATCCAAAGCTTCAGTTTCTGATTTTAACTTCTTCCAATTCTGGAGCTTTCTAGGAAAACCCATAGGCAGATAGCTCAAAAAGATAAACTGCTTCTGGAAGCTGCCATCTTGGCTTTAGGGTAATAGGCCTCAGCTGGCTAAAGCCAATAGTCAGCTCACATTCCAAAATCCAAGGAAGCAACACAATTTAAGATATTTTCTTCTTGAGATTAGAAAATCATTCATATATCTTAGGTGATCATTTCTTCAGAGAATTTTACCTCAACAATATTTACCTAATGAGAAATTCCCCCCACAAAGAAACAACTTCATGCACTTTGAATAGTAAGACAAGTTGACGGATCAGGCATGATAAATCTTACCAACAATACAAATATAAATTTATTCAAGCAGAATATTCATCATTCCATGAGCAGGATGATGAGTAAGATCACTGATATGAACTGTAGTATTTTTGTAATCAACTTTTCATGTTTTGGATTATTCATCCCCCTTTTCAATTACTTTTAATTTTCTTTCTATTCCTTACCCATTCAAGAAAATAGAGATCAACAAAGTTCAAGGTAAAAAGTCTCAAGAAAAAAATCACTCATAGCTAGAATACATCCTCCCTAATACAACCAAGTACTTCATTTTCCAAAGGGTTAAGTGCCAGGTTGGAAGAAAATGAATAGCAGATGTCCACCCAAATGAACAATAACCAGTGACCCTTGGTATATTGGCAGGGACTTCCAATGTATCCTGGTTTGTTTTTCACTAACACCTTTGACATCTACTCTCTAGTATGAATACATTTCCCAGGTTACTTGGGTGATATGTCTCTTTCTCTTTAACCATGGCAACTCTATAGCCAGCCTCTCATCACAACGTGGCATTTGACAAGTCATTTTTCAAAAGGAAATGTAAAGTGAATTATCTCCATTTTAGATTGAGAGAAAGGACAAAGTCAATAAGTAAAAATACTGAGTAATAGATGTTTTAAATGTAATTTTTATCAGAGACATAATCTAAAAGCCAACAATTGGATGATTCAAAGCAGAGGTCCACCTGCATCGCTATAATGAATATGAAACGCTGATTTATCGCCTCAGTATTCTTTGGACTACAGTCAACATGATTAAAGCCTTACAAATTTCTTTTCCCCAGCAGAGATTATACAGGCTTAAGACTGCAATCAAGGGCTGGGGTTGTGGCTCAGTGGTAGAGCGCTTACCTAGCTAGCATGTGTGAGGCACTGAGTTTGATTATCAGTATCACATATAAATTAATAAATAAATGTCCATCAACAACTAAGAACATATTAAAAAAAACTGCAATTAATTTTTTTTCACCAAAACACTTTATACTAAAACTTGTCCAGCCTGAATCATGAAAGGTTTTCACCTAGGAGTCTAGACAAGTAAGATTCTATTGAAAATACTAAGAAATAACATCATAATTTATCAGTCTTCTCACCTCAAGTGATCTTTCTGATTTCCCTTTTAGTTTTCCAAGTTCTTCCTTCAATTTTTCATTTTCATGACTCAAGGCCATCAGGCGCTCTTTGGCTTCTTTGCTTTGTATCTCAAAAAACTGGCGTTCTTCCTTCTGTTTCTCTGTCCAGGCTGAGAGTTCCTCAAATCGCCCTTTCATAGCTTGATTATTTAGCTTCATGGCTTCTGTATGGAGGTCAGAATGAGGAAGTCACACACACCAGGAGAATGGACCAAATAGGCCCACAGCCCACTTCGCCACTTGGCTCTGGATCTAAACAGGCCAGCCTTGGCCTGGGCCCAAGGATCAGCAGGAGAAAAGACTATATCCGGGTGAGTGATTTTTGCTTTCAGACAGGACTAGTGGGTCTAACATTTCTAGTCCTCAAAGTATCAAGAAAAAAAAAATTGATTTGGATACCTCCACTATAGCCCAGATTCCCATTTCTAACTAGGAGACTAAGAAAGGTCCTATCACTCTGTGATGAGAACACCCATTCTGCCAAAAGCCATAGTTTGACATATCAGAATGTTTCCTATGAATAGGTAATATTTAGGACTAAGTCTGTATTCAAAGCAGCCTTCCTTTCTTTTTCTCCTTAATAGACTAAATATCACTATTCTATTCCCCTGAGAGAATATTTTTTCTCTTTTTTTGCAGTGCTGAGGATCCATCCCAGGGCCTTACACATGATAGGCAAGCATTCTGCTCTGAGCAACATCACCAGTCCCCTGACAGAATATGTTTTATTCTTACGTTATCAAGAGGTAAAAAACAGAAAGCATTTTAACTCTACCAAAAGCCATCTGGGCTCAAAAGGAGGTTTGTTACAAAGGAATTATGTTTCATAAAGGCCCCAGGTGAGTGGAGAACACATGTAGGGTGGCTGCTCACCTTTCAGCTGGTGGTTCTCAACCAGGAGCTCCTTCATCTGCTGCAGCAGCTCCTCTGGGGTGAATGTATCCAGGCTGGGGTGAGCCAGAATGGGGGGTCCATTTCCTGTGGTCTCAATGGGACTGTCCCCCTTTTCAGTCAGGCAGCTGAGAGGTTGGTGGGACATGGCAGAAGTTCCTATGGAAAAGCCACAACCTAAAAATCTAGCCATGCCCCCCTCCACCAGGGGTGTCTTTGAGTCTCACAGATCCATTAATAATTACTAATATTTATTTCCAAAGTTGCCAACTTTCTCCACTTGCATTTTGAACTTTTTAAATTCTTTTTCTGTTTTAAACAAAAAGGCATATCCCAGTTTCAGAGAAACATGCATGTGTGTATACATGAGTGTACAAAGGGGTACAGTAAGAAAGACTGGAAAATAAGAAGGAAGGGTATGTGTAGACATGTGCAAAGCATAATTAAATAAATTTTCCAATGCAAATCTTTAAGTTCAAATCTCCTTACTTTGAGTGAATTGTATGATATGTGAATTATATCTCAGTAAAACTGTTAATTTCCATATATTTACTTCTCAAATTTTTGGTTAAAAGGAAGGGGAGAATTAACATTTTTTTCAATGCTTAATTTGTGCTAAAACACCACCCAAACCTGTCATTGCCCTATATTCTTCATTAAAAGTCACCCGGGTAGCTGTTTTACTATGAAGAAGCTGAGTTCACAGAGGTATACAGCTTGTTCATGGCCAAGAAGTGGCACAAACAAGTATCAAAAGATGATTTCCACACCCACCCAATCATACAATAAAGGTGCTACTAAATACATGGCCTTCAATATCATATTTTTCAAAGCATATACCAAAAAAATTTAAGTCATCTTGCTATTTTGTATTCTGAAAATATTTCTACACATAACACTTTATTTTGTAAATGGGTCAATGTGGACTTAAAAATACAAGATAACAGTACATACCAACTCTATTTCTTTATTATGTACCACCCAGAGAAACAGGGACATCATTCCATGACTGGCTATATGCTCTGTGAAAAATCTTTTATCTTCACACTTTTTTTTTCATCAAGAACTGATGTGGATGGGTTATAAAGCTATACAAAAGCCACTGACACCAAAGAAGGCCCTAGGATGAAGAAGTGTGCAAGCCCATTTTTAATGGGAGAAAGGCATTGCTCTAAGACCCATCAGCTCCTCATGATTACAGAGCCTGTGTGGCCCCTTTGAATTGTGCATGAAATCAGTCACTGCAAGACAGAGGCAAGAGAACTGCCTTCTAACATATAAGAAGAGGCAAGGGTTTCAGCCCTCTGTCTGTTCTTTGGAAATGAGAGGATGGCACTCTGCTTTTGGTTGTGAAGAACTTGTAGGCAATCAGAGACAATGCTACCACCAATAGAAACAGCAGGTCCTGCGGAGCCACTAAGCCATGCGATTTCTACCTAAAGCAGTCAGCACAAAGGAATGCATACTCATGAACTAGTCATGAGAATGGCTACTTTATGAATGGAAAACACTGATAAAGCATTTTACTCAATTCTGAACCTCTTACATTTATGTCTTACACAAGTAAATTAATCTAGAAAAAAGGTATCATGGTAAAATGTTCCATCATTTAGCATTAAGGAGCTAAAGCAGACTGCTCTTCTCCCCCAGCAAAAAAAGAAAAAAAAAAGAAAAGAAAAGAAAAGAAAAAGAAATAAACTGCTAATGTCTATGACTTTCATGAATTTTCTGTACAGAATGATCTTGGTGCCAACATTTCATTAAAATGAGGGTTTCCTTTTTTTTTTAATGGGGTTTTCTGATAACAGTTTTCATACCTATTTTGCAGAGGAATAATGAAGTTCTAGGTAATAGGCCTAAATGTGTAATTCATCAGCCAATATAAAATTTCCTTAGGTATTCATCAATTACATTATAGTTTGCAAGGGTGCATATCTCTCTCTCTCTCACACACACACACATTTTTTTTCTCTTAGTACTAGGGATCAACTCCAACGCCTTGTGCATGCTAGGCAAGTGCTATACTACTGAGCTACACCTGCAGCCCAAAATATTTTTTTAAATATCTAAACACTTATCTGGAGATGTGCTCAGTTTCGTCTTTTCATATGAACAAATTTTCCCTTAATTGTCTTTCCAAGGGAAAAGGAATAGAAAGGGAAAGGAAGAGGGGAAGGGAAAGGAGAGGGATGTTCCCTTGAAAAGTATTCAGATGTTTTTCCTCCTTGACCTTCCTTGACACCTTTACCAAGTCTATAGATAAATCCATAATAAAGGTAAAAACAGTTCTAGTTGTTATATCAGTGCTTCCAGCTTTTTCAGATTGTCCAGGTTTTATAAGGACATTGGAAAAAGCAGGGTTGTGCTAAAAGAGGCAGTAGAAAAGCACTTATACCACTAGCCAAATGTGTGGCCTTGGGAAGTCACCTGACCTGTTGTGATAACTCACTGACTGGTATAGCAGATGATATGCTTCATTGTTGCTCTCAGCTCAGCAACCCTGTAAAAGGTATTCTTTGGTTTCTAAGATTACAGTCCTACTTTACCCTTCAATACAGACACACCCTCATGAGCATGCCTCTCACCAATTCATATACCTGTCTTAGTTATGGGAAACTCTTTTTATCCAATATTGTTAGGAAAAATTAGTTTTTAATTCAAATGTCATAGTAAATAAGAAGTTAGCATGCATGGCAACCATAGCATATAGATTCTATCAAAATTTTACTAACAGTAATTTAATATAAAATAATTTTGGATGACTCAAGGGCACTTTATGGTTTTAGAATGTTCTGGAGGAATCATTATGAGTGATCTCTGTAGAGTGCACATATGAAATATCTATTGGTAGAATGCCAGTTAGGGAAAACTTACAATTAAGTTTTAACATCACCTTGAGAAACATTCAAGTGGGCAAACACGGAGGTATATTATAAATCTTTGCACATATATTCAAGGATTACAGAAATTGGAACAATGTCATTTAGTCCAAAATTCTAATAACAGATTTTCTCATAATAATCTAAATGACCTCAATCTGAAGTGTGTCAGTTCTCAGAAAAAGTGATATTTAATAATGGAAGGATTGAGCACAGAATTTGTCAATATTTCACAATTAAGGAAGACTGATAACTACCTGGTAGGTAGAAAGTCAAAAGCAAAAATCTAGATTTTATTCTTACATCTGCTACCTGAATTCCTAACCTCATACATTCGTATTTTTAATTCCAGAGATCAAGTAATTATAGAAATGACTTGACCTTGGAGACATGGAAATAAATCTCATTCCTGAGTTGGCCTTAGAAATAATCTAGTCCAACTTCTTATTCAAAGCAAGAATGTCTTGTCTAGTTTACACAGTGCACGTTCACAAAACAGGTTTGAATACTTCAATGACAGAAAACATGAGCAATAATTCAAGTTGTGGGCACTGTCTCTTCTATTACAGGATGGCTGATGGCCAGAAAACTGTAATGTGTTAAGTAGAATTTACTTTACACTGGCTTCTACCCACTAGACATTAGACACAAAATAAGATTAGGCCCTTACCCTGGTGCAGTTGTGCCTTCAAATTTGCTACTGAAGTATTCATGGGTTCAATCCCTACGTGGATAAATCACATTTGTTGTTGTTGTTGTGTTTGTTTGTTTTTGGTACCAGTGATTGAACCCTGGGGTGCTTAACCACTGAGCTACACCTCCAGTCCTTTTTATATTTTATTTTGAGACAGGGTCTCACTAAGTTGCTTAGGGCTTTGCTAAATTGCTGAGGCTGGCTCTGAACCAACAACTGTCTAATCCTCCTGCCTCAGTCTCCTGAGCTGGGATAAATTAGTCTTAAAGTGAAAACTTGTTTCTTGATCAGAGATAATAGTTGGCTCTTGGCAGTATAGTTGGTTCTTCCAGTATGTATTAACAGAGGTGCTAAGATTCCAAGATTGCATCAGCTAAACCCATCACCATACTGGAAAAAGAACTTAAAGAGTATTTATGCATCCTACCAGTGAGGTAAAAGAAGTCTTACTATTATATACCAGAAATTCTAGTTTGATGTGGTATCTTCCTATTACACAGAAAACAGAAACAGCTTTAATCTAGTCGCCAAGATAGGAACCTGGGAGTGATGCTTGATACTTCCAATTCCCTCTTCTGTCAAGTCTAATGGATTTTCAAATAGTAGTCTCTTCCACCCACTAAATGCTTCTCAATCTCCTTTTCATCCCCATAGGCTTAGCTCAGGCCCTTCTTAGTTTGTCTGGACTTTGGAAATGCTGACCACCATTGAGAACAGGATTTTTTGTTTGTTTTTGTTTTGTTTTGGTCTATTTTGTCTACTGCTGTACCCCCAGTCCTAAGGACATTATGTAAAACATATAATGAAAGATTCAATATATCCTTATTGAATGGATTTTAATAGCTGCCTAAATGGTCTGACTTTTATCTCTTTCCATTTCAGTCCCATTGTCTCTTCTATAACATGAGGTCATTACCTGAGTACAACTATTCTTATAAGACAGAGTTCTGGCAAGACAAATATGGCCTTTCAACATACCTATCTACCGGTGTCATCTGTCACCAAACTACTCATACTCAGGTACACTGAAAGGCTCATAATTCTCTGTGTTCTTAGCCTCTGCACCCTTGTCTCTCTTTTGTCATTTGCCTTAGATCTCTGACTCCCTTTTTGCCCTGGGAAACTTGCACTGGACAGTTCAAGGTCCATCTCAAATATGATGTCGTGTATCAAATGAACTCTTTCTTCTCCTAAGCACTCAAGAGCAATTTGTGTCTCAACCTCCTTGGCCTTCTTTCCCCACACTGTTGTCATCTTATGCCCATCTATTTTCTCTCCATGTTATTCTTACTAAAGACTGCATACAGCAGGCTTCCAAACATGTTTGCTGAAATGAAATGAAAATACAGCATAATGAAGTATTTTTAAGTCTAACACCTATAAAATGTTTTCTGCTGTATAAATGACAAACCCCACATGCTGGTATTATTATGTTTTCCTACAGTTCTATGGCATTCGCTTCCAGATTTTTAAAATCAACTTTAAAACCTATTTTAAAAATCAAAATTGCTTTTTAATATCACTGCAAAGGCATCAAAATATTATCTCATAACATATATTCTCATGCTCCATTGTAATACACATATTGAAGTGGAAACAATGAAAACTTTTAAAATAGATTTTATTTTTAAGATTTTAATTTTTTTCCCTTTGCCTTTTGTTTACCATACCATAAATTCTAAAGAACTTATTAAATAGGCTAATTCTAGGGGCTGGGATTGTGGCTCAGCGGTGGAGCGAGGCGGGACCCGGGTTCCATCCTTAGCACCACATAAAAATAAAGGCATTGTGTTGTGTCCATCTACACCTAAAAAATAAATATTTTTTAAAAATGGGCCAACTCTATAAAATTCAGATAAGCAGGTTTGAGGATCACTGGGTATTTTTCATGGTGAGAACACCTACGTGCTACTACTTGAGAATCAGAAGGAAAGTAATACACTGATCAATTCCTTTCAAGTTTATTTAGAGGGAAATCTCGATTCTGTATCATAATATACAGGTTAAAGTTTTGTTGTAAAACAAAGACGGTGTTACTTTTATAGTGTTGTACACAATATATAAAGAACTCCTAAAACAGATTCAGTGAAATAACAGATCACACACCCTTCAGACTCAAATCAGTCCTTGTCCACTACAAACCACACTCAAATTGCCCTTGTCTTGTCCATTCCAGGGCAGTCCCTGGCCTTGGCTTCTGCTCTGGGTCCTCTCTAGTACAATACAAATAGGCCTGTCCTGGGAGGCAGCCTTGGCTCCCCACCTCTTCTTTCCCTAGGTCAAAAGAGCCAGATGGCTGGCTGCTCTTGTTACAGTGCTGCTCTGCTAGTTAGTTTTTAAGCCTCTGAGCATCCTGATACTGTCTTCTGTATTTTTCTAAGTCTTTCCGTAAGGCTTTAGTTGTCCATTTCATCCTTAAACACCTCTGTGGCACACATTTCCATAAACAGTACTCTTGGTGGCAAGGCCTGGCCAGAAGCTAGGTTTCATTTCTTCTGAGCCTGTTTATTGCCTCATCTTACACATTTCTGACTGTAAAAGCAATTCCTTTAAAGTTCTCAGCCTCATCAAATATTCATTCTCTCCCCCTCTGCTGTATATCTATCTGTATAGCTACATAAAGTAAAATCTACATATATATGTAGATTTCAGAGAGAGAGAGAGAGAGAGAGAGAGAGATATCACACACCTTCCCAGACACAATGGTTTACGTTGACGACTCTGACCTGTCCAGTAAGCCCACCACCTTGGAGAGGGGTCACTACTCTTTCCTGTTCCTGGAACACCTCACTGATAGTGTTTTCATGTCTTCCAAGAGTGAACCTTTAACCACTTCCTCCTACAAGAGGACATTACCCTCAAAACACCTCGGTGACCTGCAGAGGAAATCACCTGCAGCTAACCAAGCCGGTGTTTTTACCATTCCGGGGCTCAGGGACCCTCTGGGGTGGCCGCACCGGTCGCCCTTTCACAGCAGGTCATGATCCCGGCCTGAAAACCCTCGCAAGGCAGTTGTCCCACGGGAGGTATGCCCCATGGCCGCCCCAACCCTCGTCATCCTCAGCCGGCAAGCTCGGGCCGCAGTGAGCCGAGAGGGGGGAACCGCTTCCTGGGCGAGAAGCACTCGCCAAGGAAGGAGCCACCCCCACCCAGTCCCTGTCGCCCCCTATCACAGCTCACCGGCCGCCGGCGATCGGCTTCTCTCGATGTCACTGACCCCTAGGCATCGTGGCCCTGGAGGAGAGCTCCCGGCCCGGATGTGGACGCCGGCTGGGAGATGGGCCAAGGGCGGGACCGGAGCGGCGGGGCTGGGGGGCTTACGCTCGGCCTCGCGACCCGCCCGGCGCCGCTCAGCTGACCACAGCGCCAGCTCCCCGCCTCCGCCGGGGAATTTCCCAGGCTCCGCCCATGCCACGCCTGTGGCCACGCCCCTCGCGGCCTCGCCCAACGTCCCGCCCCTCCTCTCTCCTGCTTGTGTCCAGCGTTCCACCCTCACTGCTTTCTTGCAGTGCCAAGCTCCCCACCCCAGTGGGTAGGGAAAACGCTGAGGTGTCAGACAAATGTCGTTAAATAAGATAAACTACGAATTAGAAGAAGCGTGTAGAATCGGTCTTCCCTGACCAGAGCCGCAGGAGGTCTTGGAAGGAGGAAGAGGGTCCCAGGCAATGTCTTTAAGGGTGAAGGATAGGGTTAGCCCTAACCCTAACCCTATCCTTCTCCCTAGCTCAAACCCTAGCCCCCCAGCCCCGCCGCTCCGGTCCCGCCCTTGGCCCATCTCCCA